ACATTGTCCAGGAACAAGCCAGCTTTTCCCAGTACAGTTACAATTCCATGCAGATACCTGGGGTGGCCTAATCCTTATGAGCTTGAGATACCTAAATATTGTTCTAAACTGTTTTCAATATTATATTTTTTAAATTGCTGTGACGTCCCCTGGGATGCTATAACAAATTAATTAATAACAAAATATAACAGACAACTTGACCCTTCCTGCAATCTAAATCTGCATCTGAGGTAATGCTCATTTCGCTTTCAGGCTGAGGGAGCCAGCATTTGTCCACAGACAGCTTTCAGGGTCATGTGGCCAGCATGACTAAACCACTTCTGTTGCAACGGAACACCGTGGCGGAAACCAGTGCGCACGGAAACACCGTTTACCTTTCCGCTGCAGTGGTAACTATTTATCTACTTGCACTGGTGTGATTTTGAACTGTTAGGTTGGCAAGAGCTGGGACAGAGCAACCCTGTCGTGGGGATTCGAACCGCAGACCTTCTGATTGGTAAGCCCAAGAGGCTCAGTGATTTAGACCATAGCACCACCCGCTCTAGTGAACTAGGTCTGGATGGTGATCACACAAGACAGGGCCTTCTCAGCATCGGTTCTGCAGTTGTGGAACTCTTTCCCACTTAACATTCACATGCTCCCTTTTATTTATGGCATTCCTGGAAGGCTTAAAAACATAACTTTTTTTACAGTTGGCTTTCTTTGAATGAGTTTAGGTGATCCAATTCAGTTTCTCTCATGCATCTACTTGTCTGTTTCCACCCAATGCTTCATATTCTCCCTGATATTCTCTTGCTTTTGTGTCTCCCTCTACATTGCTTTGTGAGGGTTTGGCCCCGAAACACAACTAATCATGAATGAATGAATGAATTTTTATTTTGATTAACCGAACTGAATAAATAAGGTAGAACTTACTGTCTAATAAGGCTGCTTGGATATCATATGTGAAACTGATCTTAGTCCATGTCTGCACTGTAGGTGAAACCGCAACTGGAATTTCCAGGTTATTGCTTTTAGGGTCTTACTTGGAAATAATATAAATGTGCTTATCAAAAAGAGAGTGTGGTTACTTATTTACTTTCTTCAAAGTAGCACTGATTGCCAGGAAGTAGCATTCCCCCCCCCCCCCAATATTCAAAGCTGTAATACTTTATTGCTTGGAAAATGTTATCTCTCTGCCTACTCAAAAGTGCATCTATTGCAATTGTGATTACTGTTCTGTGCAGCGGGTTGTGATTGCACAGTGTCCGGGGGATCCATTGGAGAATAAACATAATATCAACAGAGTTCAACCACTCCACCTGTCTCCCCCCCCCCCCGTTGCAAATCTTTTTCAAACTTAGGGCATGTTAATTTAATTGACTGGTTTGTATAGCAACATTCTGGTTTGATTCGTTAATCAACTCACATTATGCTTCAGTTCCCACCTGCCATTGTTTGGAAAACAATTTGTTGGTAGATCCGCTGAAGCAGGCTGCTGGTTATTGCCACTCACCATGTGCCATGGAGATAATTTCCTATTGCCTTTGCATCTCTCAAAACAAAATCAGTATGGATAATTACTGTTAAGTGGATTGAACAACTTTCCCAGTGCTTCTTTCAGTTCTGAAGCACTACCACCATGAGGTACCAAGGGCACAGTTAAGAATGATTGTTTTGAAATGGCCACACTTCCAGTGTTATGGATCATATTTCATGCAATTTGAACAGGACTCAAAATGGACTGAAGTCAAGCCAAACCAACAGAATTCGCTACCATGATATAGGAAGGGAGGCAGTCATAGAATAGGCAAAAGCAAAGGCTCATCCATATGCATGCCGATCACTTAACTTTTTTTTCTTTCTAGTCCAGTGAGACTGCTAGTGCAAGGCGAAATTTAAACCTTTCAATGTTTGCTTCCCTTTATAAGTAAGAAATGCTGCATTTCACTTTTTTTCAGCCACACCCTTCCTATGACCCTACCTTTACATTTTAATGGCCTTCCAGATAATCAGTTATTTGAGCAACAATTCACAGACATTGCTCCATTTTAATGCAGAAGTGGTTCTGCTTTAGTAATGTCACATTTTCTCAGCACTGAAATCACTATTTGCAAGGATGCTAAAATTCTTCCTTGGCCCCTAGGAGTTGGCTCCTAGGTACAAAAATGTGTATTAGGAGAAATTTGGTGAATTTTCATGAGGATTTAAAGAGAGTTGCAGATTGCTGGAGAACTGTTTAGGATTGGAAAAAATGAGAAACTGGGAGGACAAAAACTGACAGATCGTTCCTTCCATCCCTAGTGAAAAAGTCCCAAAGACATTACAGAATTGCACCACCATCCTTTCTTCCATTGCCATGCCTTCTTCTCACCCACGCTTTGAAGTGCACATCTTTGATGAGTTTTTTTAAAGCTGCAAACAGGCTACCTGCCTCCCAAGGTGGATAGGGTTGTGCACTGCCCTTTGGGAGCAGGCAGCTTGCAAAAATGTTGTGCTAACGGAAAACTCAGCTTTATCTTCTTGATAAGATTTAAGGCTTCTAAAATAAAGAGAATTACTTAAGAAATTGACACGTGATGGCTGCAATTCTCATATGGCAAACCTAGTGTGTGAAGTCACCCCAAGAATGTTATAAGCAGGAAGGCTATCAATATGCAATGTGCTTTAAAAGCTTTGAAATACCATAGTTTTGACATCATCTTTGACAAAGTCTTTCTGCCCTGTAGCTAGGGATGCTTTTGTCAATTCTGGCTTCTCACAGTTTCTCATTTTTCTAGTTACGTTCAGTTCTCCATTCTTGTAATTATTATTTTTTAAGTGCTCTTGAAAATTCACCAGCATTTTAGTACAAATTTCTCCTAATATTTTTGCGATGCATATTTTCCTTATTATTTATATTTTCCCCACTAGGATCCATTTTTGAATGCCATTTACACTAATATATGCATTTTTAAAGGGACTTTTTTTTTTTACCTTAGTACTTGCATTTTGTACACAATACTCTGAGAACTGAATTGCAAAATTTGGAGATGTGAATTTTGAAGGATGGGTTCATGTATTCACATGTATTTTTGAGGCTGCGGGAACACAAATATGGTAGATTTGCCTTTAATTGAGAACTAATTCAAATTCTCCCCTCCCTAACTGTTGGGAAAATATTTTGTAACCATTTCAATACATAAATAGAGTCATTTCCTGGCCCCTTTTGGCTGAACTGTGCTGTAACCCACACATACTTATCATCCTCTCCACATATAATAATCCCGTCCCTGAGTTGACCATGGCCTCCCTCCATCTGCCATCAAGTGTTTTTTACTATGTTCCTCCCCTCTTCATTTGAAGTGTTGCCCACAATGCACCTTCATTGCCTGGACATTTATTTATTGGCTTGCACAATGGGGAAATCCCTGTTTCCTACTGAAAACAAGCCCTGCATGATGCTAACAGTTTTCTTGCACTGACAGAGCTCAAAGCCCAATAGAAAGCTTTTGTGATTCCCTCTAGTTTACCTTCTTGCACTCTGAACTTTTTCTCATTTCTGCCTAGCAGAGAGGGGAAACTCTGTTTACCCTTTTTGGGTATCCACCTGTTTACAAACATCTGCAGGCAGAGAAGGTCTTTTTTTTCTGACCACACCTAGAGGAGGGCGATTTTATTTACTCCTTTTTTTTAGATGATCTTTATTGCATTTTTAGTTACATCCACATACATGATGTTTCACATTTGTTCTTGCTCTCGCGAGCTGACTTCCCTCCTTATTTACTTGGCTTTCTAAGGAAGAGGAGGACCAGGAGCCACAGATGGGAAGAGGGCTCTGGGCTCGCTGTCCTGTCTGTCAGCTGTTTAATGGAAGGAAAACGTGGACGACTATGCAACCCATCCCAGGGATCCGATTTCGGGAGGGAAGTTCCACTTCCAACACTTCCCCCTCTGACTGAGCAGCATCAAGGGCACGCTACAAAAAACGTTGTTTCCTTTCCGGTCCCAACCCCATCTCTCTTCCTCCGCCTCCTGCGTGTTTGCCTTGACCTTCTTCCGAAAGCAGCCCGTCGAAAGCAGCTTCGTTCAAGGCTGCTCCCTCAGGGATCCCTTGTCGAGCAGCCCTTTCTTCCCGCCGCCCTCCAGCGCTTCACCCCTCTTTTCCCTTCCAGCCCAAGTCTCGCTCCCTCCCTCTTCTCGGCTTGGCTTTCCCCGGCGCCCGCCATCCACCCCTTCGTCCGCACAAAGGGGAAGCCCCCTCGAGGGCCGAGCGCCGCCCGCGCTGGCTGCGGAGATGGGCCTGAGGGGGAATAGCGGGCCGCGGTGGGGACGCCCAAGCGCGCGTTTCCTGCGCGGATCCAGCGAGGCGTGTAGGGCAGCAGGTGACAAGGTGCTTAGAAACATGAAGGAGGAGAAGAGGCCGGGCTTTTTGCATGGACTCCAGTCACGGAGTGGCCTCTGTGTGTGTTGTGGCCAGCATGAAGCGGGGGCTGCCCAGCTCCCCTCATTCCCCCCTTTCGTCCTGCCCTCCGCCCCTCGCTTCTTCCCCGCTCGCTCATCTCTCCCCACCACACTTCCCAGGGAGGCAGAGAGGAAGGGGACGGTCCCTCCGCCGCCGAGCCGAGGACAGCTGCAGCCCTGCCGGGAGAGGCGAGGCGAGAGGGCAGGGAGGACGTCGGGCTGCTGCTACTAACTCCCCCTCCCTCCCCGGCGGGGTGGAGACTGCTGCTCCTCCCGCCTCAGTTTTCTTTCGCCCGCCCCGCGACGACGACGACGCGCGGCCTGTTGGGTTTTTCTTTGAAAGTGAAAGCGCCCAGGGCGCGCAGAGGCGGCGGGAAAGGCTTGCGCGGCTGCGTTAGACGGGAGGGAGGAGAAGAAGGGGGAGCGGGGGGCGGAGATTGCAACCCCCCCCCGCTCGCACTCAGGGCGGGCTCGGTTTGTTCCTGTCGCTGAGAGGAGCCAGGAGGCGGAGGAGGGGGGATTCTCGCCGCCGTTCCCTGACGCGAGGGGACTCGGGGATCCTGGAAACTGGCGGGGTGATGTGTTTGGGCCGGGGGGCGGCGGCGGCGCTTTTGCTGCTGCCGCCGCCTCTGTTGCCGCTGGAGAAAGGAGGCGACGACGACGAAGAGGAAGAGGAGGAAGACAAGGGGGCTCGGGCCAGGGGGGGCCGTAGCCCGGCGGGCCCGGGCTTGGGGGGGAGACGGATGCCGCGGAGCAGCGCGCGGCTGCGGGGTGTAGTGGTTGCTGCCGCCGCCGCCGCTGCCACAGCCGCCGGCGAGGAGAAGGGTCGGAGAGGCCGAGAAGGAGCGGAGGAGGCAAAGAGCAGGAGGAGCCGCCGCCGCGGCAGCAGCAGCAGCAGCAGCCCTGAAATGTCTTCCCCTCTCCTCCAGCGGCCATGTTAACCACCAGGAAACCTTCTGCCAGCGCTGCCGGGGCTGCGGGAGCCGGCGGAGCCGCGGCTGCTTCGTGCCCAGCCGGTAAGGAGAACGAGGCGTGGGCAGAGGAGCGAACCGCTTTCACTTACCGCTGCCCCTTTGCCCCCCCCCCCCAGGCCAGGCCGAGCGCAGCAGACCAAGCCCTAGCGGGTGTGTGTGTGCGCGGGTGCGCGCTTCATCCTTTCTCTTCAGCTGCTCCTCCAAAAGTGGTCGTGCGCGGGGAAGACACGTCTCTGCACGTTGCTGCTGCTCTGTCTCTCCCCTCCGCCCCATCAAAGTCTTCCTGCGCTCGGCCTGGGAAGCGTCTCGCAAGTCAGCGAGCTTTTCTCTCTCGGCCCGGGAAGTTTGGGTCAGTTCGCAAGTGGGGAAGGGCACCTCCAGCACCACGGGGTATGGGTGTGTGTGTGTGTTTATGTTTTTCCCAGAGAAAGGGCTGCCTTGGAAGCGGGAGGGGAGTTCTTGTCCTCCCGATTCCGGACTGATAATCGGGGTGGGGAGACCGAGGTGATGTTGCGGTTTCTGGGGAGAGGGTTGGTTTACTTTCCTCGAGGCAGAGGCGAGAGGTTGGGAACCGGATTGGAGGCGCTAATTCCTGCCCTCCTCTTCACAGCCAGACAGACGGTGCGGGGAGGGAGGGGGGATCGCGCCGAGCAAATCCAGTTTGGCTCCCCACTTATGCTCCTAATGGTTGTGGGTTAATCGCGGATGAAAGGTTTAACTGGGTTAACGAGCGATGGCCACCGCTCTCATTAGCCCTCTGCGCTCACGGACTCCTCTCTCGGCGCGTGTGCTCTGGCGGCGGCGGTGCCACGTTTGTGGATTAGCCCCTCATGATCCCGCAAACAGTATTGCGATGGCAGCAGGCGGGGGGAGCAGAGGAGGAGGGGCGCTGGTGGGGAGGGGGCTCCTTCGGCTCCCTTTCCCATCTCTTGAGCCACTTTCCCCTGCCTTTGAACCGAAGCCTGCTCGACCTCGCTCGGCTCTCCGCGGCGCTCAGCAGCTCTCTTCTCCCTTCCTCCGCAGGCAGCCGGGGAGGAGGCGACAGCGCCCGCCAGTTCCAGCCTTCCCCGGGGATCGGGGCCGGAGGGGCCTCCCGGGCGGGCGCGGGGACCGGGCCGCCATCCCCCATCGCTTTGCCGCCGCTCAAGCCCAGCAGCGCCGCCCACACGGTGAGACGGAGACACGGGGTGGGGAGTTGGGTGGGTTGGTGGAGGGGGGGGCTGGATTTATTATTTGCAATGGGAAGTGAAGCCTGTCAGCCCTTAACCCCTCCAGCTTAGTCCTCTCCATTCTCAAAATACTGTGCCAGCCTCTCCTAAGCCTCCCCCCTCCACCAGACACCCCCCCCCCGCATTGCTCCTCCTCTCCCGAGTATTAATAGCAATAAATGTGCTAGGTACAGTCAGGCTGCCAGCCAGCCTGTCTGAGTGGGATCTGTGAATGAGCCGAGGAAGGACACCGGCTGAGCATGGAGGAGCCCTATTAATTATCCACAGCATGTCTCAACACGTCTTGGTCCTGTTACCGGTCTGGTTTCAACAGGTAATTCTGTGGAGATGGGAAAGAGGAGGGAGAAGGCAACTTTCCCAGCTGCTTAGGGATCTTGCCCTCATTGAATCTTCCCTGTGGCACCGTGGGCCACTTAGGTAATGTTAGGCTCTGGGTTTAATGGTCTCACGCCCCTCCCTCCCACCCACCACCACTCTCTAGGTGGCAATGTGTGTTTTTTCACTTTCTCCAAATTTGTGGCAAGCCAGTCTTTGCTTCATGTATGGGGGTGCTGTTTGTTCCTCTGTTGGGTGGAGGAGTCTGGAGAGCACCACTGTGTGATGAGGTGGAGGTGGTAGAGCGGTCAGGTCAGGTCATTGTGGCGTGAGTCATGTCAGTGTGCTTCTATCACATCTGCTGTGGCCACTTTTCCCAGTGCAAGCAGCAAATCTCTTCCCCCGGGGGGTGGGTGTAGTTTGCTGGAACTGTCCCTGAAGCTGCCCTATGAGACGTGGGTCTCTATAAGTGGGTGACTTTTGTCTACTTACCTGCAAACCTGGGGCATGAACTGCATCCGAGTCTGTGCTCCACAGATTTCAAACAACAGGAGAGTAAAAGAAACTACTCTGCCAGTCACCGTTGTGTGGAGGGCAGTCCTTGTGTTTTTACTGAGAGGAGTCACTGCGGGTTTGGGTGCTGCAATGCTTTCTAGGGTTTCCTTTCTCTTAATAAGGCAGACCCCCCCCTTCACGCTTCAGCCTATTCCATGGTCGAATGAGTGTCTGGAGAAAAGAGGCAGAAACAGCTTTGGAAAGTAGGCTAACCACTTCATCACTGAAGAGTGGCCTTCTTTCTCAGACTGAAAAATTAAGTTTCCCCTCCTAATTGTCAGAACCTTTCGGATAGATTGCGCATTCCTAGTGGAACAGCAGGGCCACTAAGTGGGTGAGAGAATGGCAGTGTGATTGTAAACACAGTTAAATTAGGCAAATGGGTGTTATCTGGTGGAATTACTTACAGGGCTATGGTTTCTCACCTTATCTTCCAGTTGTAGCTAATCTGCTGGGATGCAATCTCCCAAGCTTGATGATTATGAAGGGTGGAGAAAGATTGTCCGTCAGGCCAGAAATAACCTGTATAACGGTGGTGTAACAGCAGCACTGAACCTGAAAAAGAAAAGTAATGCTCATTTCCATGAAAGCTCTGGTCCTCTATATTCCTTTGATGTAGCAATTGCATTTTTGGAATTTTAAAAACTTTTTAAAGATATGATTGATGCGATTTCTTAGATGTAAGATAAATTGTGGGTGGGTGGCGCTTAATTTCTGCAAACAAATGAAAAGATTGCAGGGCTTACATTGGGCTGCAAGTGTTTGACCTGGAAATCCCTTTCCTCCCAGATATGTGTAGTGCTAGTGGCTGTGGTCAGAAGAGAAAAGGAAGCATATGTTCAGAGACACTATTCTTGTAACAGACGTACATCATTTTTAGAGTGATTCCTAATACTGAAAATCAATTCCAGAGCCAAACCTGGTCCAATTAAGACCTGATGCAAGGGAGGACATATCCACATTTGGACATCAGCATTGCACTTCCAGTGTTCCAGTGTCATTAAGATGGTCATTCAATGGCCTTAAATATACATGTATTACATCAAGAAGGATGCATACATGTTATATGGTAGTGGATGCATGCAAGTAGTGTGACTTGCGTGTAGTATGGTGGTTGCAGATAGTGGGGAATATTGTATATTTCACATGGTAAGTGTTGCCATGCAAAAATACATGTTGATTATGCTCAAATCCTGAGCAAGGGCTACCTTTTATTTAGAAGTGCCTGTAGACCAAAACATTTCAGGTCTGTTTAACTTTCCTGAAGGTGAAAAGGAGTGAAATGGCTGGATGCAATGTTAGGTCAGGGGAAAGCATGTGGAAATTTGCATTTTCCTTTGCTTTTTCACCCTTGGATTTGCAGTGACTAAAAGGTTCAACCATAAGGGGCTCTTCTAGTGGTTGAAGATCTTTCCAGTGGGTCTGGATTCTCCTTGATGACAACAATCTGATCCCACCTACACATGTTTTCTCCAGCCTTGCAAAGTTGGAAAGGTTGATACCACACAGGGAGAGGTACAACTTCCCCCTTGAATAAAGCTAACCCATGAATTCAAGAATCCCCTTCTTAAAAGAAATTATAATCCTCAAAAGAGAATCTGCTGTCACTCTTCTTACTCAATAGGTTATTAATGGTCTGCATTCAAATTCTCCTACAGTTTTGTCCCTTTAGCAGACTTGATCCTAGTTTGATTTTACTTATAGAATAATATGAGAGTCTGAAGCCAGAGATGGGAGATTTCTCAAATGCCTAAGTGATCTCATATGGGGAAGTGCTGTTTGCCTTAAAAGAAGCTTTGGCTTGTGCTCTGTATTTATGGCAACCTGTGTTGCTAAGCAGATGGACGACTGTGTGTTATGAGTGGAGCTTTCTCAGACGATATGGCTTTGTTCCCTCCCCCAACGCTTCTATTGCACTGAAAGTCTCTGATCAGAGTTTTTTATCCTGTATGAGGGGCCGTCACTCACTTTCCTTTAAGATTATTTGCTCCTAGTGTTCCCTTTCAGTCCAGCTGTTTTCTTTCCTAACCTGATCCTGTGTTTAGCACCCTGTGTTTGGCCTTGGGTAGTTGGCGTTCAGAATCCTGTTCAACCATAAAACTTAGTAGGTGGTCTTTAACAAGTCTCTCTTGGCCTCAGCCCCATCTGTAAAATGGAAATGAAAACCCACTGGGATATTGTGATTAAAGCACTTCACTTATTTTAAAGAAACTTTGTAAGTGAATGATAACAATGGCACAACATCTATTCTCCAATCTCCACATCCTCGTCTCTTTGCTACCTTGTCTTCATAATCCCATCTGTTTCCCGTATCCATGCTATGCTGAAGCGAATATGATTTCCCTTGCCTGTTTGCTTAGAGCAAGATGCCCTCCCACTCTCACAACATTTACCTGTGAACATTACCTGTTTTCACTTTCCTTAAGTTCACTCCCCTCTGCTGTTAGTCATGCAGTTTAGTGCCTTTCTTCAACTCCTGGGAAACTTTGGCCCATTTCGTTGTCACCACACCCAGCAATTCTAATCTCTTTCAGATTCCTCTGCAGTCTGGTCAGCACATTATGGCTGCCATGGAAGCTGTTGTATTGAAAAGCACCTAAACCACATGATGACATGTTCCACATGGGCAGCTTACTTTAAGATCATCGCTACTATGTACAGTTATTTAAACTGGCACCCATGCAATAGCAATACATTGTAAAAGGTGCTTGGATATCTGTGTGCTGAGAGGTCCAAACTGGGAGGTGAGGCGGGGGGGAAGCCAAGCTGCCGGACCAGTAGCCTGTTATTTCAACAAAATCTGGCCGAGCCTCACCAAATCTCTGCCACAGATTTAAATTTTGTAGACAAAAATTTTAAGAGATGGAA